TATGATGAATGCTGGTGGTGATGTTCAAGACATGATATGGAACATAAGAAACCTGGTTATTCTTATCTCTGTAACATTATCCAGGTTTCTGAACGTTTGAAAAGGAGCGTCTTTGACTCCCCAACATCCCAGACACTTCCTTACTGAAGTGCAGGGAAACCAGTTTCCCTTTCATGACCCAATATAATGTTTATTACATTATACAGCTTACAGGGGCTACAAAATGGTCGCATGGAATTGGTAAAACAATTAAGATATCTTTGTCAGCCGATCAGCTCTGCATTAAGAAAATATAACCTGCATCACAGCTTTCCTTTCAGGATTTTCTACAACATTGTGCACAGTGTCATATATTATTTGTACAATATCCAAAGAGGACGTCAGTGTGAATGTCATGTCAACAGCCACGTTACGCCGATTGTTTTGTGGTCGTAAGTGTGTGAGTCACTATCTGTGAGAAAAAGAGAGCACTCCATTTTTTAAAATTTATTCTCATAACTGAAATTGCAAGTTATTATTACTAAAGCTAGTACACCCAAGTGCAGGACTAAGAGGGGGAGGAGACTGGATTCACATAAAAGAGGACTAAGCTATTTATTGCAGGGTTAAAGGGACGGGGAAGAGCGAGGCAGAGCGGAAGACTAGATGTGCGCAGATCCAGGTTGGTGGCTGCTGTGCAGAGCAGGGGGGACCGTAGCTGAGAGTCCAGAGGGTAGCAGAGCCGAGCAAGTCCAGAGCAGAATACGGGAATAGGGGTCTGGGGAGAGCAGACGGGATGAGCGCTATTTCCGGTAACCGAAGTAAAACAACATGTTATTATGTAAAATTATGATGTTCTTGTGTTTATTGTAGCCTACAGTTTACTGAATTTTGTCTGTTTTGATCTGTAATGAAATTAAGAAATTGTAAAATTAATAATCCCCGTAACTGCCACACTGCCGTTGTCATCACTCAGTTTAAAGTGCTCACACACAGCTGATGGTCTGCATTTTGTTTTCCTCTTGATGTGAACTGGAGTGTTACGTTCACTGAGGTGAGAGGAGGTCAGACATGGGAAAAAATCCTGAATATTCACATGTAACAAAAAACCTACACAACGAAAGAATATTCAAATATTCGTGTCCAGCCTTAGTGCGGCCATTCAAGTGAGCGTTTTTTCCAGCTGTCATCCCAGGACAGCAGGAAAATGAGTGCATTGACCCAAAGCCTTTGGATCCCCACTTTCACTTTCATTTCAGCGTGTAGAACATCAAAACTTTTTCCATTATATCTTGTGTACATAATGTACATGCAACGTCTTATCACAGTTTAGATCAAATGACAGGATATTTGCATGGAACATAAACAACCACCTGGCTGGTGTACGCAAATCAACAGGTCACAAAATATGTGGCAGCTAGTATTTCAGTTTCAGTTCAAAATATAACAGCTTATAAGATCAGCCTCACACTCCTATCAGCATCACAAGTGTAGTGCAGAGTGAGCAGTGGTCTTTTTTTAACCATGCAATGCAGAATTAATCAAACTGCCACTGTAAAGACTTTTAAAAGGTCGATTTGATGTCAAAAATTCTTCCTGATCTTTGGCATGCCTGTAGCTGGTGGCTCCATAGGCAACAGCAAGACTCGCTTACATCTACAAACGGTCCTACATCATCATTTGCAGTCTAAAGTCTGTCTGCAACCGGACTCCCCGTTGCGGACTTCACAGGTACACAGACGCATATAAATTTGGGAATCTGCATGTGCAGGAAATCCCCTATTTGGATTCAGCCATCCTCTATGCATTGAATTGCGCCCAAAAATACCAAGTATAGCGCACCTGTCATGGAGTCTTCATCCTCTGCTGGTCGGAGTTTTGAGTCAGACGTGCAAACCTGGTTGTAGGTGACACCCCCGATGACAGTGCAGGTGACTTCCTCCACGTTTCCGCCGCCCATGTTGAGCTGGATGCCCTCCGATGCCAGGGCCTCATAGCTGGGGCCAGTGATGATAATTAACTAGGGATGGAAAATAATGGACAAACAAACTGGTAACTTTTGAGAAATGAAAAAGCATATAGTAGTAATAGTGCTTAATGTGGTCTAACATCTCTACAAGGTACTCCTACCTCACCTACCTGTGAGCCTTCCAAAGTGCTCCTCTGGTCAGGAATCCCACAGCTGGTCACCACCGTCTGCAGAGTGTGAGGGTCAAACAGCTCGCTCTGCTCTTGTACTTGCATGGGCGGCGGGACTGACAGCTCCGCCTGAGCTCCCAGTTGGACTGAGCCACTAAAGCTCTGTGACAGCACCGAGTCCCCGCACGTCTTCTCCAGTTTATCTGCTGAGGACGCCGTCACGGTAACACACTCGTACCCGTGCGATACAGTCCTGATCTCCTCTTCTCCTCCGTCTCTGCCTCGCCTCAGATCCTCAGCCTCCTCCTCTGAGGGGAGGGTGTGAAATGCTGCTGCGGGGGAGCCTTGCTGTCCCTCCATGACCATCTCCATCTCCCAGACAGGCTGTCCTGTCAGGGGAACATCCTTGGAAGAGGCCTCTATACTGGGCTGGTGGTTCAGAGGTGCAGTCTGTTCTACTGGGCTAATGTTTGAATGTTGTACCTCGGAAACATCGACACTTTCTCCTGCATCTACAGAAAAGCAGATAAATCAAAGGAACTTGTTGATCATCAAGGGATTCGGGATTTACCAGCCACCAATAAATAGCAAACTACTCAGAATATCAACACTGAAAGTAAAAATAAAACCTTTGAACTGTTTGTTGGCCTCCTTTCTCCTCTTCCTGCTCACTACACCTTTAGCCATGAGCACGTCTGTTTGTGCTGCACTCTCTCCGTCCCCTTCTCTGTTCACTTCCTCTTCATGTTCAGAGTCACTTGCCTCCCTCGGTGGTGAGAAAAGGTACTGCACAAATGAGTGGTTAGAGTCACACTGCCAGATAGCAGTGGTAGAGAAGTTGGGCTGGGGCTCCAGGGCTCTGAGCTGGGGCTCATGAGGGCAGGAGCGGGAGTGCTCCTGGTACCAGCACACCAGGCTCTGGAGGCTGGACACACGCTCCTTCCTGCCTGGGAAAAAATAAAAGTCAGATGAAAGGACAATCGCAGATGAGCGAAGAACTGGTTTTGTCAAATTTGTTTGAATCTACATGTGAATCCCTTGCTGAGTTCTGTATCTACGAGAGCAACAACTCTTTGTGCAAGAAAAAGACAACATACACACAATATTCTTTCCTACGGAAGCCCATTTTGCCAAGAAAAGAAAAGATAAATCAATGAAAAGTTAGGACTGAAAAAATACAAATTGAACATCTAGAGATACCAAGTCATAATTATGAGGCAAGATCAAAAGTTTAGTCAGATATTAGGTCCTACCTCTTGGTGCTGCAACTAACCCTAAATGTTATTTTCATTAACGAAGAAATTGAAGATTAATTTTTCATAAAATGGTTAAAAAACGTCAAACTTTTCTAAAGCCCAAGGTTATGTTCAATTATGTATTACACTGAACAAAATTATAAGATGTCCAGTCATAGTTTTGAGCCATTAAGTCTAAATGAATAAAAATATAGATTAGTAAACGGTAAAAATCAAACTTGCAAATTATCATTTCATAATTATAACTCCTTCCACTATCTCAATATTTGACGTAATAAGTAAAATATACTTAGTAAGACAAAAATATAACTTATTTACCGATATTGATATTTGGAAGTTTAAAAAAATCTGGTTTGCTCTTTGTGGCGGCTAACTATATAAAGGCAACACTGTCTCTAAGTTACATCAAACAGTATACTGGCCAATGTGTGGACCTGGCTGATTTATTGGTCCAGCTGTACTTATAATGTTTTAAATGTGTGTAAATGTACTTATTATCTCATAATTTGGACTTTGTCTCATAAAATTGATTTGGAAATTTAAATGACTTAATCATTTGGGTTTTAAGTAAGTAAGTGTATTTTTATTTTGTCATTCATCAAAGGTCATGCATTTCTCTTCTTACCTGGTACTTGCTGACCGTTGAATACAGCAAGACTTATTGATGCAGGATTAGTAGTAGGTCTTTGTGAAATGTAAACAATCTTCAATGTCTACCCAGGCTGACATTGTAAGTCTTAAGTCTACAGGTGTAATGAGTTATGAGTTTACCCACATGAAACCAGATGACTGCTGGCCCACAATGTTCTGTTTCTCAATCAATCATATAAGCAAACAGCAGCAACGCAGACTTAAGGATGAAAAGATGAAGATATTTATCTTACATAAACAACCTGTCCACTTAAAATGTATTATAAGAGAAGCATCTCACACCTCCCAAACCCATGTGACTGACACGGCAACTTACCTTTTTTCTGTTTTACAGAGACTTCTGGAGACATCTTCTTCCTGTAATGTAGAAACACGTACTTAGGTCGGGTTAGGCAGAGTAAAACACCTCCTCGACTAGGCAGGGAAATCTTTTATTTTGGCTGACAGAATAGAGTGACTAGCTAACAATATCACGGAAGATGCGCCCGGACTCGTTCGGTAGCCATCTGTGCGCTGTTTTAACTGGGCTTACCCGCAGTATTTCTGCTGGTATTTCTCTCCATAGGTGGAGTTGAGCAGGATCAGGTACTCTGCCAGTCCAGCATCACTCAGACTGGTCCGCCTGCGGAGCTCACTCCACAGCTTGTGCGACTCTCCCAGGTACACCCTCCTCACATCGTACTTTTTTCGGGATTCAAGCCGCCTCTGAGCTCGGTCCGAGTCTGTGAGCCTGGGCCGTCCTCTGCAACGCCTCAAAACACATTTCCCTTGGTCCCCAGCTTGGTCAGCATCCAGGGGAACCTCCAAGTCTGCCAGGCTTTGCGCCATCTTGGCCTCAACAGCTGATGTTGTAACCTGGCGTCCCGGAAGTTGTCAGACCGAACAGGAAGCACCGGTACAGACGCCTTTTTCTGCTTAGTCTTCCCACACCACGGGTTTGTAAACTTTGCCGAAACTGACATGTGTATTTCTCGGCCAAAATACTGAGAGAATAACCTACTGTGTTCGCCGAGGAACCGCAGCGGAACGGGACATTACACGGTGTTTTTCACACGGACCACAGCTGCACGGACACACATGTGCAACATGTAAACAGACGCAGGAAACTTCGCTGTGGACATCGTTATCAGATGATTTAAGTAGAGAAAAGTGTGTGTATCATTGTGTCGGTCATGACAGACATTTTAACACTTGTGTTTAGGACTTTTATGTCACAGACGGACGTGAGGAAGGACCTCGACGTCGCTCCGCCGCCACCGACCACCTGCAGCACGCTGCTGGTCGGAGACAACAACATCAGCCGCTCTGTGCTCCTGCTGGCGGCCGTGACAGCTGCCTCAGAGATGGACGTCAAAGTGGTGTTTTTCACCCAAACACAAATTCAAAGCCTTCCGGTGGCTTTGCAGAAATGTGTTCCCAGCCTGAGCCCAGAGAGTTTAAAGGTAGAGACCACTTTCCTCCCAAACTGTGCTTCATATATTTCACCTCAATAAGTTACCCATTCTAAAGGGAGTAAGTTGTAACTAATTTATTTATTTATGGATAATAAATTATTTATTAATGCTTGTTAAAGCATTTCTGGCTCGTGAGTATCCCCCTCTTTTCTTAGTAATGGTCATTAAGTTATTTAAAGTCTTTCATTTTAACTCTATAAAAAGGGTGCGTTATGAGAAAGTGGTGCCATGTTTTTTTCATTAAATACCTATCTCACTGACACAGTAATGGTTGTGCATATTTGCACTTTCATTTGTTTGGGTTTTATAAACTTGTTAGAAAATAGAATTATTTCGAAGAAGTTAATGAAGTTTTTTAGTTTAGTGAAGCTTGATAGAGCTCATTTTGAGAACACTCAAAATAAATTAAAATCCATAGATTTTCATATCATGGAACACGCTAATTTGATAAATAATTTTAATCTTAACATTTAATCTATTCATAAAAAATGTTTGCCATAAAGTTGACAAATTAAGCAGACATTACAGAACTTACGGTATATCACATTATGTCAGATGGGAGCACATTAAAGAGCAAACAGCAAGCAGTGGTGTGTGAAAACAAAACAAGACACATGAAGATGTTGCATTGAGAAATTGCGATGGGCATTTTCCCGCTAATCTTCAACATTTCATAGATTAAACAGTTTATGGAGTGTCTGACCAGCTACCTTGACTCAATCAGCTTCTGTCTGTCAATTCAGTTTCTTCTTTCTTTGTTGTTTTTTTTTAAAGAAAATCCAGTTTTCCTATCCCAGGACAGTGGAGGAGCTTTTGCAGCAGGTGGCCAGCCTTCACGAGTCCACCAACACGTCTCCCACACCTCCCTCGCTTATCATAGTTGACAGACTGGAGGGCTACCTGTGTGGGACTGGAGGCGGCAGCCACTCTGGATTTCACCCAGGTGAGCAGTCCTGCGCTGCACACCTGTCTGCGCTGCTGTACGACAGTGCTGCCTTTCTCACACAAATCCTGAGACAACGCACCTCGAGCTCGGGCCCCTGCCGTGTCATCGCCTCTTTCCAGTCAGAAGTGGAAACTGGGCACACTGCCGAGGAGCCCATCCTTGATGTTCTTGATCGCTATTTCCCAGTACGCTGTACTCTGGACAGAGACAGGAGCTATGAAGCCATAGCAGCTGGACTACAGGAGGTGTGGCACCTTTACCTTTCTGGAACAGGCACCACAGAGGCCTCTAGTGCCAAAGACTGTGAGGACACGACTGGCGTAGCCCAAGAGTGGCAGCTGTTAATTTCTCCTGATGGTTTAATGGAGTTTAAGTCGGTTTGAAAATATCTATTCCAAAGACTTTAGCAAGTGTTCACTCAAGGAGTAGTTTTGTTCTGAGAAATGGCTAGTTTATAAGCACATATCCGATTTAAATTCAAGCAGAGAGGTATGTCCAGTGGAGATGACTACTGTGATATACTCCAGTATAATAGGCCTTATCTTCATGAGAATTCTTTCATGAGCAAAACAGTGTTTTCAACCATGCCTTTCCATTCCTTTAACTCAGAAGTTCTTGCCTTTGCTTTGACTGTCACGGCTCCTCTGGTACAGTGTCGTGTAATAGAACCAAACGGCGTTGCATTATCACTGACACAGCACGATGTGCTCTGGTGTTCAGCTTTTCAGGTACCAGTTAACAGCACCACAGTGGTTGCAGATGTGCAACATTTAATGAGTTGAATTTCAAACACGCAAATAAAATCTTACACAATAAAAACATCTACATAGACATTGAGGAATGGAATTGTTTTAAATTTAAATAAATTAAAACAATACACAGTCAATACACTTAGACATATGTTCTGTATAGCGTATTTAGGTTTTTTCTTCTTTAATATGCCCTTAATCATTTTGTGACCCCTTAGTTTTATGTTGCAAGTCTTTGAGAGGTCCCCTGTCCCTGAGGTTGGGAACCACAGATTTACACAACACTGGAGTGAGACACTGGACTTAAGTGGCTGATATCACAGTTTAAGTATTTTACAAATCAAAAAATAATATAGAAAATACTTATTTTGAAAAATAAACAATATTTATTTATACAGAATATTATTTTCAAAGTTTCTGAAAATGAAAAACAGGGAACAAAATATTACTGTACTTCAAAGTAAACTCCTAATGAGGAAATACGCAATATGTAACCTAACAAGAAGACATTTGCCATTTAAGTGTGGCAAATGTAAAACTTTCTCTTAAAATATATGTTGCAAAACTCGGGGGGGAGAAAACTGATAATAGGCTATCCACAAATGTAAAACAATGGGTAACCCTTTTTATTATTATTATTTTTAATAAATCTTTAAGTGCTCTTGTGACAAATATGCAACAGTTTGTAAGAGACAGACTGTTGTGGGTTCTGAGCTTTAAACCTTTGTTTCCTTTTTGTGTCACACTATACTCAAAACTATGCTCAAAGTCAACAATGTATAGAAATGTAGTTAGTTATATGCATATATGAATGTATTTGTTTTATATACTTTTTTCCTAAGCCACAAAAGAAAACAAGCATGAAAAACATATGGAAATTGTTCGGTTTGATTTCAAAACTGCAATGAATTTAAATGTTTTGAAAATTTGTGTCATGGTTAAAACTGTACTGTACATGTTCTGCTCTACAGAGGGCAGCAGTGACTAAAAACACAACTTAAACATGATAAGAAATAGACTTAGTAACAACTACAGTTATCTGCAAATGAATACTGACTTAAAACCTTCCTGCACCTCCTACAGTAGTAGTATTTCATTTTTGCTCTGTGTTTAGGAAATGGCAACAACTTTGAAAAACACAAAAAGCATCATAATATTATTTACAAATACAGTGAGTTTCTTCACATTTGGAAATTACATTGACAGCTGTATAACTTAAATTTGAGGGTATTTTAAAGTATAAGGCTGGTAATGTTCTATATATATATTTTTTTTTTTGTCAACAAATCCTCCTAACAATAATGTCTTACTCTGTTCTCTCATTATTTTCTCTCTCCTACCCTGTCTGTGCAACCCCTCTGGTCCAGACTGAAATATCTTGACAATTATGTGATGGATTGCTTGATTCTTCTACCATCATCATAAGGTCTAAATAGTACCGATACTGTGGTTTACTGTGCTTTGCGTTTAGTTGTAATTAGCAAATGTTAGCATGCTAACACGCTTAAACATTATACCTGCTAAACAGTTGCATGTTGACATAGATATCAAGACAGTTTGGGGATTATAGAGTCGGATGTGAGGATTAAAATGCTGTGCACTGACAATATCACTAAATGTCTACTTTGTATTTTAACCTAACAGCCATTCTTTCGTTTAAGCTCAAAATTAACACTCACCATGGAAACACTCAGGGAGTTTGCACCCTCAGCTTCAATTATGGTGAATTATAAAAGAAAATCCCGATCTGATCTACAGGATAGAATAACTCCAGATCAGCACGCAGACTTTTGCATTAAATGTCAAGTATTTGCTGCCATTTGTGTGTAATGGTATTGTCCTGTACAGCTCAGATGATTTGGATAAAGTAAAAATGCTGTGCATGTACATCCAGTGGACTCTTCCTTCTTAAGTCCTTTAGCTTACACTTTGGTGTAAGTCAGCTTCCAAATCCTTGGTACGCTTTTCTTAACAGTTAAGGCTATGTAGCTTTGGGTGAATATCCCAATACCCTTCACTGAGCGTGCTTCAAGGCTTAGTCCATGTGCAGCCTGTCCAACTTAGCTCCTTATCAGCCGTCATCATGGAAAGGGTGCTGCCTCGACAGGAAGGGTCTTCTATAAGCAGGGATCTCGTTCTTGTAGTCATTGGCGTAGATAACCAATTTTCCAATGTCGTCTACTCTGCTCATGGGGCTGTAGTCCATAGAGACCCCAGAATCTGCCACTGCCATGTAGGTGTACCCTGGGCCTTTGGACATCCAGGCTTGGTTTGGGTACTCAAAGCTGGACTGTGATGAAAGTCGACCCGACCCGGAGCTCTGCGGCACGGATCCCAGGTCAGAGTAAGATTCACACAACGCTGTCTTTCTAGAGGCAAAAAGCACCTCCAGGGGTGAGGTCTCCTCGAGAATGTCATCCAGGTGTTCGTCTGCATTGTGGTTGTTGGCACTGAGGGTGACGTAGGCGTCTTGAGACTCCAGCATGGAGGACTGGGAGCAGGGGACGGGGTTCTGTTGGAGCGCCCGTAAGCGGTCCATCAGCCAGTGGTCGTGTGGTGTGGCTCTCCATTCCTCTGTCAGACATGAATCACCTCTTTGCAATGGCTCGGTCTTGTTCAGCCCTTTCTTTACATCCGTGTCCTCCTTCCTGCCTGTGGTCAAAGCTTCAGAGGCCTTCGGTGGCAGAGGCGGGGAGTGCTGTGGGGGGCAAAGGCTGAGCTCTGACAGGACTTCCAGTGGAGATGGGCATTCTTCTAAGTTGAACAAAGCTGGAGTCAACCACAAGCCTCCATTGGTCTGCCCCAACCACTTCTGTACAAAAACACAACAAAGGATAATGTAAACTCGATTAAAATGTCTGGCTTTGACAGCTAGAAGGAGGCTGAAATTTTTGGTATTGAGTATAATGTCTCAACAACTATTGGATGGATTGCCATGATAAGCACAGGCATCACGATGAGTTCTAGTAACTTTAGTGATCTCTTAACTTTTCATCTAGTGCCACCGTCAGGTCGATGCCCAGTTCTTTAGTTTATCACTAGTTAGCAAACATTAGTACGCCAACACGCTAAACTAAGACGGTGAACAACGCGGTAAACATTATACATTGTCATTGTGAGCATGTTAGCACACTTAAATCAGCAGCTTGTCTTGTTCTCACCTGAAAGTCCCCACCATAAACAGTAAAAAGGCCCTGGAACTTGCCGTCAGGAGTTGGAATAGTTGGCCAAATCTTCTTTGTAAGAAACCTGAAAAGAGCACAGATGCTGAAAATATAATTCTACAGTTTATCATTTTTTTCATTAATCCGTACTGTAAGATAATGACAGAGGGAAACAAAAGATTTTTGTGGCTAGTAAAAAAGCTATGTGTTCCTGGTTGACTGACCTGCGATGGAACAGGAGCAGAGTGAGAGACAGCACAATGAGGACAAAAGAGATGATGAGAGTCAGAGACACGAGGAGTATGTCGAGTTCTGGAGGAGGCAGAGAATGATCAATTTCATTGCAACTGTAACAATGTGGGACTGTATATTCCCTTTCAAGACATGCCTTTGCTGATGGGAATATAACACGTTTGTATTGCATACGGTATGTGAATGAATACTAACCTGCAGGCAGTGTTTTCATGAACACTGGCTCACTCCAGGCACTCCAATAGCCGTTGTAGCTAATCCCGTCTAGCTTTACACGGACTCGCACTTCGTACTTTGTACCGGGCTGCAGGCCTCTCAGGATCAACTCTGAACTGGCTCGTGCCACTTCTACCTGCAAGACAGTCCTTCACATATCAGCGCAGGTCCATTTGTGCACCTGCCAGTCAACCTGCTGCTCAAAGCTCTAACATATCAGGTCATTCAGGACATTAAAATAACTGCCATACCTGCCCCACGTGGCTGTCCGCCGTAGTGTAGCCAATCTCGTACATCATGCTGTCATCCATGTACTTGAGAGGAGGCGGCACCCAGGTGACATTCAGCTGACCTTGCTGGCCCGTGCTGCTCACTGTCACGTTAGCCGGAGGGTCCAGAAGAACTGCCATGCAGATAGACAGGAGGCGGCTTGTTAGGGAGCATTTTTAAGGAAGTCAAGGAACGTTTATTCCTCATCAAAAAGTCTGCCACACCCTGAAACACCAGGAACTTTACATACCCTAATGATGTCAAGCATATTTGGCGCAAGTGTATAATGATTACAGTTATTTAAACCTACAATAACACGTTTGGCCACATACGGACAACGGAAATAAGCTGCCAAACACTGACATATTATCACCTTTTAAGTTGACTTGGCAAACTTGTTGGCAACCAAAACAATGAACTGAAAGACGCTAAAACACTCTGTAGAGCTGAGGGAAACTGCAGATTCAGGTGGTAATTTCATGTGACTTTGCCACGACAAGTGACCGCTTTCATGTCCACGTAGTCATGTTAGTGTTGAATTGTTAAAAAAAAAATCGTTATTGGATTATGCCTCTGTTTTCATCATTCTCACAAACTTTTCAGATTCACTCCTCTAACTGTAGCCCACTGTTTAGTGGAATTTGGAGGCAGCTGCACAGTTTACAGGAAAAGTACTCACACAGAAGCTCCACGAGAAGGCTACGGTTGTGGATCAGTATTCCCTCTCGATGAACTTGTATGTCCATTCGGACAAACATCTGGGTTTGGTTCAGGTGGCAGATGAACAGCTTCTTCCCGCCTGCTGCAGGGAGGACTCTCAGTGGACACTTGCTGCTGTTTTCATTTCTGCTCAGGACAGAGGAAGACAGAAACACTCTGGGTTCAGAGAGAGTTGATTTCCTTAATTCGGACATGGCACTATGCTGAATCGTGCTATTATTTCTGATATATTGAGGACTCACTATATAATGCTCCTGAAACAGTTTTTAAACCTTAAGCAGTAGGAACACCAAGTGACTTACTGGTAGGTGTATGTGAAGCAGTACTGATCCACAGAGCTGGCCCTCTCCTCATATTCCTCCCAGAAGCACGTGAAGTCCTTCCTGCCTTCTGCAAAGCACTTGGGGTTTTCTGGCTCTTCTTTCAGCATCATAAACACTGTGGAGAGGACGTTAAGGGGGCAAAAGACATGTTAGATATGAAATCCAATCACCTATACTGGGAAAAAAAACAACGTGGTGTATTCAACAAATTATTTTTCTAATATACCCAACATTCCCACTTATTGTACTTTAAAGGGTTATGTTTTGCTGTCACTACAGATATCAATAGCCCCGCAAAAATGTTATCCTACCTTTTTTTTCGAAATCTCGTGCGCCTTGGTCGATGGAAGCTGTACGCGTGGCGCAGAATATCATGTAAAGTGCCAACAAGCGGCTCAGGTGATGATATGTCATCCTTTTGTCTTCTCTGTTAACAGCAAGGCTTTGACCTTCTGTTGTCCACTTGCATAACTGGAGAACAACCTGCCACAAACGCGTTTGCCGCTGCTCTCGTCCGGGGGAGGCTTGTTTTTTGTTTAGATACCATGGATAGCGCAACGCGGTTACGCGCCTGCTTGTGAGCGATAAGGTGTGTACAGCCGAGCTGTTTACTTTCTCCCAAAGCCAGCGAAGGAGAGGTGGGGCACGAGCAGTCTCTCACAACTTTTTACTCTCTTGTTGATAGGCGGGAATCACGCGCTCATTGACGTTTACGACTGTCGTGGGTAAGTGAGCCTTTAGACAAGTGCCGTGCGTAAAAGCGCACCACGAGCCAGCCTGCCAGCTAGCTGGCTAGCTAGATGCGCGGAGAAGAGGTAGATAAATAAATTAAAATGATACCTTTTTTAAATATAGATTTTTAAGGAAGATACCCTAACCACCTGTGGGTGAACTGTAGCTCACAGCCGGTAGCTGAACCTGACCCCATTCAGAATGCGATCTGAGGAGGTGGAGCTGAGCTCTTGGCTGGCCCCGCGCCAAATTAATCCCTGCATGTATCCAAGTACCCAAACAGAAACCACAGAGTATAAGATGCAGACCCAAACGGTTTCTTATCTGCTTACTGCACCCACATGTTTTCTTCGTTTGACCAGCATTATCAGAGCTGCAGATACCCCTGTTTCTCCGATAAGTTGTCTAGGGGGCGTGGCGGCCCATCCCCGTCAGTTTAAATGCATTTAAGACCTTATTTATCACATGAAAGGGGAGCGGACAGCCTGATCCCAGTGAAGTCGGTACTGATGTAAAGAAAATCTGCATTTCACTCCCATGACGACATTCAGCTATAGATGACATCTGAACTTGCTCCACATAGTGAAAACTGAGCCTCGGATAAGGTTTTTAAAGTATATGGAGACCCTGCATAGGGAAGGTATGTCTTACTGACCACAGTGGCAGGAAGAGGAGGATGAGGAAATCTGTATTGTTGTAGAGGACAGAGTGTGGTTTCTCTGGTTGTTCAGATAACACATGAAAAAAAATAAAAAAATACTCCCAGGCCTAATGTTTTGGGGTTAGGAGGTAGGATTCATGGTCATAAATTACACTTAAGATGCTGCTGTCATCATGTACCCTCTGTAACTGATTTGTAAAAGGAACTGAAGACAATGATTTGCAATAACGCTCCCTCGTTTGTAATGAATATATTCTTTATTTTCATATACACATTCTTCAACATATTCAATTTATTTGTGTTTATAAGATGATGCTTTTATTTTATTTTATTTTTTTACAATGCTTCCATCCAACACATACAGAACCTAAAATAAAGGGATCAAATAATCTGATGTCCCCTCTTTTAGAAGGCGACCAATCAGGAATGCAACACGTGAAAACAAATAGATCATGAGAAAGAAAGTGCACAGCCCAGACTAACAGCTCCGAATGCTACAGACTTATTTGTACAAAAGCATCAGAGTCAGTGGTTAAAAAGTCAATATCAGTGGACAGTTTAGCACAGTAGTGCCGAGTACAAGTCTAGCACATTCAATATGTATTCAAGCAGCAGCCGCCATTGTAAGCTCCTTTAGTGAAACCATTACAGCTATTATTATGCTCTCTGATGCATTCCATTTAAATATATTGCAAAACTGCAAAGTGCATTATGCACATGTTGTAATACAAATGTAGTGTTATGAGTCAGCTACCTTGTCCAGCCTCCTTATGTTAAACCCCTGCTGAAAGCTCAGTGTGGTACAAATGAGATGATAATATCAGCTATCTGTAAAACTACATCACTGTTCAGCAGCACACACATACAGGAGAGATGACCACAGGCTCATACAGCAGCAAGGAGTGAGCTGGCCACCTGTTGTGAACCAACCCCTCCAGGCTGTGCAGAGCAACGACAGGGTGTGATGTGGGGAACGTGAGGTTGCTATCATGGTGCAGAGGTTATGGTTGACACTAACCGACTAAGTAGTCGGCATGTGGACAGTGATGGTGGAATGGCACAATTAACAAATAATAATAGTAAAAAAATACCAATGTATTTTTTTTCATTCCTGATTCGTCGTACAGTTCTAAGACACTTTCAGGTAGGCTACTTTCAAACACAATTTCATCAGTTTTCAGCAGGGGGAGGTTGACAGTTCAATGCTTAAATATCAAAAAAATGGAATAATGGAACAAAAAAAGTACAGTTTAACTGATGGCAAACATAACAATGTGGATAAAACCCTATTTATTCACTTCAATGACAAGCTGAGATATTACAATAATGGGATATAAAGTGACAGGGGCCCTTTTATCTAACATTCTGCTCCCGCACATTGCTTTTCCTGATAGTAGCAACATCACAGTTGACTAGACTTATTCTTCTCAGAGAGCCGTGTTCTTCCCTTTCTGAGTATACACACACAGACTTTGCTGCATTTCCACAAAACAGTCACAATATCAGTAACAAACAAAAACAAAAAAATAAGACAGAATGTTCACCACTTTGTAAATACTCCGTTATTAAGATTAGCAGGTTTGCCAGACCAACTGTTTTGCTATGCTGCAGTTAGGGAGCAGCATGTGTGTGTGTGTGTGTGTGTGTGTGTGTGTGTGTGTGTGTGTAACGGTAAAGCATGGGTGTGTGTGTGAGAAAAGGCGTTAAAGAAAGAGTGGCACAAAGGGGTGAGAGAGGACATGCCATGAGGCAGGTCATGTGACAGGTGACAAAGTGTCACCAACGACTTCCTCACACGAGCACGCTTGCACAGCAAAGAGGACAGAGCTCAACGTTTACCATTACCACAACCCTCCTGCTGTCTCAGCATTAGGGCACAAGAAAAGGCTTTAAAAACCTTAGAGAAGCACCGAGGGAGGCAAAGGGCAGCGCAGGACTGGCATTAAGAGTCAGGTCAAGATGAGGTTCATTTTGACATTCTGTAAATGACGGGTGATGAGGCGTACACAACAGAGAAATCCTCTAGGGTAGATAAGGCATTTTCAGCAGCTGATAACAATTTTAACCCCAAAACATCATGAAGGCACATTAATTTTCATGACTGGCTTTCATTTGTACTGATTCGTTTGGACAGTATGTCCATATTTAATGAACTTTAGAGACAACATAACTTGTATTTAACATTTCATGGAATCTGATTTATTCTGAAGGAACAGTTCAACATTTTAGGAAATATGCTTTTTGCTTTCTTTGTGAGAGATGAGAAGACGAACACCACTCTCATGTCTGTACAGTACATATGAAGCTAGAAGCTAGTTAGCGGAGCTTAGCACGCTTTGAGCCTTGCGAAGCTCAGTATGCCCTTGTTTGAGACATACATCATTTCAAGTAGTCTGTTGAAAAGTGATTCATTCTTCTCTCTTTCAATCAGCCATGAGCATGAAGCGTCCTAGTTATGATTGCAATATGCACAACACTCTCTGAACTGTCATTTTGGAAGCTGCTGTGATATTTTCCCTCTATTTAACATAAATCCCTTTCTGAATCAAGGCAAAAAACAGACCACAGAGATGGAAAGAGACAGAGTGGTCCACTAAGGAGAAAAGACAGAGAGACAGGCCTGGAGTGGAGAGAGTTCTGACAGCACTGATGAAGATTATCTCAGCTAGAGAGTCCTTTGGTTGCAGTGTGGGCAAAGCAGAGTTGGGCATTGCTGGAGTGTAGAATGAAGAAGAGGTGTGGCACTTTCCATGGTTTAGGCACAGAGAAGGATTTGGTCTTTATGTATGAGTATCTGTGTGTGTGTGTGTGTGTGTGTGTTGGCGGTCTTGGTAATCAGGCAGATGGTTTAGCAAGCACAGCCCCCGTTGCTCTCTGAAGGCGAGTCTTTAAGGCCCTGGTTCCTGTGATTGGTTACAAGGTTGATGTCTCCCTCCATGCTCTCGTTCATCTTCTCACAGATGACGTCCACCAGACGCTCAAACACCTGCTTCACGTTGATGTTGTCCTTAGCGCTGGCCTCGAAAAACTGGAAACCTGAGGGGGAGCACGGGCACGAAACACACGTGGCAAAACATGGTTTCATTACATTTACTCTGAACTAATACCGTAGACGTATGAATGTCACAGGAGTTGTCTGCAGACGCCAACAGGTAGAAGTTTTACAAAAATAAAAAACTGTGCAAGGATAAAGCTGCATGCCCCGACAAAAATGCCAACCGTCACCAACTGTTGGATCAGTGTGCACAGTCAGTCAGTGTTTGTCGCTGTCAGTCTGTGTCAGTCGGATGAAATCTTTAGAGTTTGGCATGTCTAGTCGGGTTGGGTGAAGTCGTAGAAAGTCGGACCAATGTGCGCCGTTTTCCAACAAACCGCAACATTCTGAGAGTGTTCCCTTGACAGCTAAGCCTGTACTCGCATGCAGAACGTCAGCGCGCACGACTTTCTTTGGTGTCAATGTCGGTTAGCAAGGTGTCCAGTACTCGCTCCTCTCTCTCCCACTTGACAACGGAACCATCTGTAAACAGCCTCTCTTCAACGTGCACAATCCGAATCAGAACGTTTGCTGGAGCAAGCGACAGACGCCAGGGAGAAAAGTGATCATCCGCCGAAAAAGAGATTGCTCTCTGTGGGAGCGAGTGCAGCATGTTAAAGCTGTAATGTCCAGTATCTACACATCTACATCTACAGCTGCTTTTATTTCAAACAGTCATAATGTGGAAATAAGCCTCACTTTATGTCCATGGTAGCAAAGGCAGATCTTTATGAAACGTTAATGTTTCATTTAACGGAATAATGACAGTTGCAAAGTGTTTGCACGGTCCTGACAAAACCTTATCATAGGCAATACAATTAGCCTATTGTTGCAGATGAAATTTGTGTTTGGTAGGCCTATGTTTATATCCTTGTTTATATTTGGAAAACAGACTATAGTCTTTAATTAACATGATTCACGGCTGGGTTGGGCTATAAATAAAATAAAGTGTCTCTCTTGCAATTATCTTTATGACATTATTTTTGCTTGCTCTATGCCAACCAACCCAGTCCTTTTACAACCAGTTGATTTATGGAGTTTTGTAGTATTGCACTTGCCAAAAAGACAGAGTATAGCTAAATCAGTCATTTTTACCAGTTGAAATACATTTAAATAGCCAATATAGCCTACTTTTGCACTTGCCAAAAAAATTATTCCACCTCCTAACTTGTGACTGAAAGGTTCTCAAAATGAATCGATTTCAGTTATGAGCGTTATATAGGCATTATGGCTGATTGTGGCTCACCCAGTCCTTTTAACCTGTTGAAATACCTTTAATGGGCCAATACAACCACTAACAAGTAGTTTTCCAATTGCCAAAAAGTGATTGCAATCGACCTTGTGACTTAAATAAGAAAAAGTAGGAAACAATAGTCTGTCTGGTCAGTTGCTGACTGACAGTTGGTTTTCTGAACATTCTAAAAACTGAAACCAACTGCTGCCAACTTCAGAATGTTTCTGTTGGTTGGTTAGTTAAGACGCAGTCTGAGCAGCGTGCAAGCAGCTTAAGAGTTTTTACCTAGCTCCTCTGCCAATCGCTGGCCGTCCTCTGTGGGTATGAGCCTATCGTCCTCCAGGTCACACTTGTTACCAACTAGGATCACCTGAGCATTGTCCCAAGAGTAAGTCTTGATCTGCGTCGCCCTGTGGGACAGATGTTCACATTCAACATGATTAAAAGCAGTAAGGACAAACGGATCTGTAAACAATATAGAACCCAACAAATCAGATATGATAAATAAATATAAAAATATGAACTTACAGGTGGTCAGCACTTAAATTGGTAAAACAAAAATGTGTGTAGTGCCACTAACAAGAAAAAGCCATCAACCTTTGCAGCACCACTCAAAGTTGGTGTGTGCATGTCGCATGTTGAATGCCATAAAACAAATGAAAAACATATAAGTTTGAGGTCTTCCAAATTTGTTATGTAGCACATTTGGTGAAGATTGGGTAAAATCTGTAGGAAGGAGGTGAAAAAAATGTATTACATATGTTTTGCAAAATAGCACAAAGGGTAGAGGTGTGTAGAAAGAAATGGACAGGGCCTACATGGACAGACAGGTGACCGACCAAGGAATCAGTTAAAAAAATAGTAGCCTGCTTTCCCACCTTTTCCGGACTTATGAGCAAAAGTGCTTCATAATTATTCACATGGTGGGACTATCTCTGGAATTATGTCTACAACATAACGACCAAACATGTCGAACTCACCAGTCCTGTACTGCGTTGAAGGAGTCCTGGTTAGTGATGTCATACATGAGCAGGAAGCCCATGGCTCCTCTGTAGTAGGCTGTGGTGATGGTACGGTAGCGCTCTTGCCCTGCTGTATCCTACACACACAAATAAATAAATAAATAAATAATAAATAAATATTCCCCTGTGATCATTCAATTCAGTTCAATTTAATTTATATAGCGTCAACTCATAATGAAAGTTATCTCACTGCACTTTTCATACAGAGCAGGTCTAGACCGTACTCTGTAATATTATTTACAGAGACCCAACAACACATGATTTGAAACCACAAGGGGGCAATATTGTCCAAACTACAGCCTATTGCTGCAACACTTGTCTCTTACAAGTTAGCTCTGAGTTGCACTGACACCATGTATGTGGAGGGGATCTATCATTTAGCCACTGGAGTCAGTGATCTACTCTAATATCAATGTCTAATTCAGAAACGTCATACAGGTGTACAGTCATTTCATACTTGGGTGTACAGAGCAGTCAAGTTCAGCGGTTTCCAACACCCTCCCCCACCCTCGAAATGTTTTCCACAATCTTTCCACACACCCACCCCCCCTTATATCTGCGGAAGTACACAAGTCGGTTTATTTCTGGTTTAATTTGAAGTGGACAAACAAAGTAAAACAAATAGTTATGGATCCTGTGTACTGGGAAATAATAATGTTACAAAGGGAGAGGCTATGGTATGAATGCACTCTGTGCAAGCTTCATGCATTTCTCTCCTTCCAAAGCACCAAAGTACTTGGCGTCATTACCACATCAGCATTCCACTTGCACCGCTCCACACAGTCCACCAGAAGATGGCAATGTGATATGAGCTCCTGCCACAATCACTTCTCATCAGTGTGTTTCACTTCTGGCCAGCCAGCAAGAAGAAACACACTGAGTCAGAGGAGGTGTGGTTGCTCGGCGGTGCTGCCGCCCCCGCCACGATGAGTGACCCGTTTATCAGAGCCATTATCTAATTAAATGTGTGATGTCACAGTCAATGGCTCAAAGTAGTATAGTGGATGCTTAAAGAAAAACAGGATCAAACACATAGACTGAGTAGAGCCACTCCCCTCCACTCTCACATTTACTTTGGAAACCTGTCTGCGTCCTTCATTTGCATGGAGGGGCATATGTGTGCGTTCCTGGGTTTGTCTGCTGTTTTCCTCACAGTGAAGAGGAGGGGGAGTGGGTTGTCCAGGTAACCCGAGGCCATTTAAGGTTATGAATGTTCCATTACAGCCAGGACTGCTCTGGATGGTCGGCCCAAATGATCCTTCTCACTTTACAAAATGGACAAGATAGAGGGCAGTCTGCTGCATAAATCCTTCTATCAGAGACAGCAGGAAAAGAAACATTGCTTACCCTTGCTTTCATTCTTTCCAATGTCACAGTCAGAGTCTGCTTTCTGTCAGGGGTTATTTTTGTTTTAGTAAAAAGGGTGAAATATTCCAGGCCCATCTTTATCTCATCCATACAGAGATGAACAAATAGTTGACAGCGTAATGGGATGTCTAACCAAATAGACTGTCTCCGGGGTTGCTATAATCAACCCCAGCCAGTAAACAAAAGCCGCTCCCTCGTGTTTATATGTATGATGATTTAAATCAGGCGTCCACATGGTCAGAGACTCGGACGTCACTGGGACCCTGATTTTTAAAAACACATCACCTGCGTTTATATTAGCTGCCAACACAAAGCAGTGGCACACACAAGATATCATCCCCTGGGTTACCACGCATGTGTTGATGTGTTTATGCTAAGTTTGCCAAAGGTGTGTGTGTGCGTGCGTGCGTGTGTTTGCTCAAAGATCGGAAACATACTTCCATGACACAAAAAGGCGGGATGTAAACAACATGTGTACATAGCGTGAACAAGCTGTACATACGCTCAAGCTCTGCGTGTTCACTGTGCAAGGGCCATGTGGTGTGTTATCAGGCTAGCCTGTTTCCATGATATACAAAGGCAGGGAGGCTAGCAGCTGGCAGAGTGGGATCATCAGCAATGCTCTTTGTCTAAGGGCTTGGCCAAATCTCTTACTAATGTTGTTCAATGGGAGCTAACATGATTTTAAACAGCCAGGAAATTTCCCAGAGTTGATTATTAACACCACATAAGGGAGGACTTGGAAGACATGGCTGCTGGTCCCACACCCTTTAAATACACTGCTACGCTAGCGCTGTAGTATATCTTCATTATGTCTCTGTCAGATGTTGATAGGGAACTTCCTCTGCTTCCTGAGCTTAGGAAATACCAGTTCTCTTTGTTATTCAGCAGCACCACCAGTAGTCAAGGCCAGACACACAATGTGCCCACCGTCCCAAATCCCAACCAATCACATAATTACCTAAAACACATTATGGAGTCATTAATTATTTCGCCCTGCTGCTCAGCTGTTTGACTGTTTCACCCCACTAACGCTGCATGTCATTTCACAGAGACACATGTTTGGTCAGGCAGGTGATTGTGTGTGTGTTTTGGTGTGGGCTCCTCAGCTGCTGATTCATCTCGGTCACAGTGGCTCACACGCTGTTGATTCAAATGAATCATCTGTTTGAACAGCCCTAACAATGTATAGCAATAGGATTTGTAGTGTACTGCGGAATGTGCAGGTGGAGGACACTTAAGGATACACCTTATAGTACAATGTAAAAACCCTGTAATGACGACCAGGGTTCAGGTTTTTATTAAAGCTGGGAGAGGCGTATATCCGGCTAGAGCTGTTTCCGGTCTTTAGGTTCAAGCTTAACAACGGCTGGCTGTAACCTTATATTTACCATACACACAGGAAAGTGGTATTGATTAAATTTTCGGGAAGAAAGCAAATAAGTAGATTCCAAAAAAATGTATGCTTCTATAAAGTTTTTAAAACTCCCATAATTCAGTTTGATCATGTTTTTTCGTTATACTTGCAATGTCTTTTAAACTGACATCCTTGCTTTGGAAAGCTTTGGAAAAGTCTCCAAGACCAAGCTGAGATAACCCTGATGACATCGCAAGGGTTTCAGGGCCAATAAAGACATTAAACAACTGTCACTGGCTAGGACACACTAGTATGATGAGCAAACCAACTTTTAGAGTGTAGTCCCACTGTGAAGAGTGATTAAACTCTAACTGCTAAATGGCATTGAACATACTTGCGTAGCTGTTTAAAATGTGAGTTACAGTAACTGTTGCATGTCTTGCTGCAGAGTTGGTCAAAAAAGCCACAAACTCATGACATGTGGCTGAATTACCAAAGAGGAACACTAACGAACAAAACTGATTACCCACAAAAAGGTTATAGAATACACGGGAAACCCAATACATTTGATTAGTTTGTGTAAATTCATTAAAACCTAAAACTGCATTGATATTATCTAAATCCACAAGCCATAAATTTAAAGCAACTATAATATTTTTACATGAACAATGATCATTTTTGGCCGCAGCACACTGCTATTTTCAGTGAAAAAGCTCTAAAAACCTGCTGTTCCTGGCCAGCAAACAGCAGCCAGACAAAGTTAGAAACTCAGGGCTGAACATAGTGGAACATTTAGCAGCGAAATAGACAGATATATCGGACCAAAACAAGACACCAAAGATATTCCAATATTGCTCCTGTCCGATGGATTTGTAAGTACTGTGAATGCTACAGTTCACTGTGTCAACTTAAAAGGTGATATTATGTTCGTATTGTGTTCACAGCTGCCCTGAAGTCACTGCTGATTTGATGAAAGAAAAATTTACCTCCAGATCTGAGGTAAGACAGCTTCTCGTCTCCCTTAACCCTGACCTCCAACTGGGCTTTGTAGCACCCATCAAAAGAATGGAAACCTAAAAATTTAACTCTTTTCCTCAAGTGGATCTGCCTACTTTACACATGTATGTGAACACTTGGAAGAGCAGTTGATGCCAGATAATGGTAAAGAGTAGGAATGAGAATTAACCTATGAGGAAGTCTTGCTTTTTACGCTTGCACAATTCAGAGGCTAAACTTGCACACGGGCCAAACTCACAATTCTAGACAGACCATTGTCTTTAAAGGTCTTATGGTGAGCCTTTTATCTCCACGTTGTCCTTGGTGCCAACAGGCATTCCACGTGGGCTCACTTTGCTTGTCTTTATCTCCCTGTGTTCCTTTATTTACATCTAAAGCAATACGACAACAATGATGAGACTGGAGCACCCACGTTCCTTAACAACAACAAATTCAAAAAGTTAAATTATTAGCTGTGGCTGCAGTTTGGCAGAAAGAACCTGTTGCTTGTGTTTTATTTGTTTTTTTAATTACAAATGGCAGTGTGGTAATGCAATGTAATACCAGAAGAAACCCCAAAGTATTATCTTTAATCCACTCACCCAGATCTGCAGCTTGATCCTCTTGTCATTGCGGAAAACAGTCTTGACCTTGAAGTCAATGCCCACGGTGCTGACGAAGGCGGAGGTGAAGGAGTCGTCTGCGTAGCGGAACAGGAAGGAGGTTTTGCCCACGCTGCTGTTACCAATGATCAGCAGCTTGAACATGTAATCAAAGTTCTGATCGGCCGCGTCCTTCTGGGAGGGCTGCTGCTGGAGCCGCGAGTCACTTGATGCCATCTAGACAGGGAGGAGAGGGCGAAATAACACACGACTGCAATCACAGTCTGAACATAACATGCAATATGGCCAACTGCAATATCCAAATCACAGAAGCTGCAATTCTTTTGATGAAGGTAAAATGTGTGACAGAACTTATATTATATATAATTATAATGTACCAGTAGACACCCTGGCCAACAAATCTTGTGTTTGGTACAGACCCCAACAAATGTCACATTATCATTCCCACTAATCAGAAATCACATCGCAAATCATAATAGAATTTTTTTTACCATGTCGTGCAGCCCTCCTACAGAGGATTATCACCCGACTCTGCAGCTCCCCTCGGCTTTACGGGACTTTATAGCAAGTTTCAGATCACTGTTTAGCTGTCCAGCCTGCAACTTTACTCTCACCGCTCTCATAGGGTCAACTTCCCGGCAACAAACCGACATACGGGCAACTAGCTGGTGAACATACTGGAGCATTTAGCAGTTAAAGAGTCAAACATTTCCCTCGGGGGATGGTAGAGACAAAAAACAGAGCTAAAAGACAGTGAATATTGGACGGACATTTGCCTGTTAGCCAATTAGTCTATACAGTGTCACAAAAGTAGCGAGAAAAGCCCGTCACAGTTTCCCAGAGCCCAGGGCGATGTCTTCAAATGTCTTGTTTGTCTGACCAACAGTTCTAAAACCAAAAACAATTCAGCATTTACAATGTTTTTTGACAAAGAAATGCAATCAGCAAAAGTTTTTTTGCTTGACAAATGACAGAAGAGAGATGACAGGAAATGAAGGGTGAAAAGGACGGAGAACGACATGCAAAAAAGGGTCCTTGGCCATGTTCGTGGTTGGCGCCTTTAAGGTACTGTGCAGAGTTTTTATTTAACCACTAGTAGTGCTGTGTTCCTGCATACGCACGAGGCAGCACATGCATAACCGCAAGCTTGCAGATGACGCGATACACATTCCTGCCGCAATTTCTTCGATCAACAGTTGGTGGCAAGAACAGCACAGTGTTTAAAACCAAAAGGTACACATATGTCGTTTGTTTACAAGAAAGCTCCACAGGGCACCTTTAACCCCTAGGCCAACTCACTGATCAATGTTCTGTTCATTCATTTATCGATTGATCAACTTAAGCACTGGAATCAACCATGCTCCACTCACTGGACTATTACAGTTAAGTTTCTAGGTGGCGTTATTGATCTACTGGTATCAAAGCTTGGCCAGATATTAGTGAAATCCATCAGTGATCAACGTGTTTCCAGGTACGACTCCTTTAAAAGGTTTGTAATCAAAATGAAAAAGACAACAGCGACATAAAGTTTAGAATAGGTTTAGTTATAATTACGGGCAGCTTTGCCATCTGTCCATCTGCTGCATTATAACCATTCATCTCAGCGTAATCTCTCCTGAGGGCAGGTATGAGATCACCTGCCATTAAGCCTTTTAGCATCAGCCATCCAAACAGCGGGAGGAGGGGAGAGCAGCCGCACAGCTCTGGGTGTGAAAAGGAGAGCTGGGGGGGGGGGGGCTTGCCACCCCTCTGAAAACACACACCCAGCTGATCAAAATGTGCAGCCCAGCCCTGGCTCTCTCCGATGACACTCGTCTCCGTGGAGACCAGACTAGGACTCAGCTGCCGGCAAGACCCATTAGTGGTCAAAGCAGTCCATTCACTCAGCTTTTAACTGGCCAGAAGTCTCCAGAGGAGGATAGAGATATCTATCACACTACCGCCAAGGGGTGTGGGGGGGAAAAAAAAAGGAGGAGAGGAGGCTGTGAATCATTCACTCTCACAGTAATGACAGCGTCAGGGTAAGAGAGGACGAGTCCATGTTCCTTATGAACTACCTTAAATAACTTGTGCTACAGGGCTAAACAAGTAAGGAAACACCACTAACCATATTACTCATTAATTATTCAGTATGAGCTACAAGAAAATATTTTGCTGCTGTGTGATGAAACCATTTTAACTCTCAGACTGATTTGAAGCCATGCGATGTTGACATCCTCTAAAATCAAATGAGGGGTGTAACCTTCCAGTAAAAAGTAAAAACTTCAGCCTTCATTGGCTTTGTATTGCTGTTCTGTAATTGCAGTGACACAAATACTTCTAGTCCAGCGTGGTATGAAGCAGACTTTTTACACATACCAGCCTGTGCAACCTTGCGTGCTGGCTCATGTTGCAATGAAACACTGCTGTTGGAGACTGCCAGTGGGAGAATAACACCTTTTCACAACTTCACCTCACGGCAGAATCTAAAGCCTTGGTACACGTCATTTAAACACAATCCTTCCAGACCAAAAAGCGTTCTCTCCGTGTAACACAAAGGCCTGTGTTCAAATCGCAACTCTCACTTCTTTCTTGTCTATCGAGACACTGGCTGTGAAATCCCAAATCACATGATGCCTGCCCTGTGTGAGGGTCTCTCTGGGGAACTTTTTGTGTGAACTTATAGATCCCATAGCAGTGATTCTCCTGCTCAGCTCCGTTTATGCCTTAGGTAAACCCAGTCACATGTCCTTCATGTTTGCTGTGCAGCTCAGGGTGTCAGGCAAATAAATAGGGTCAAATAGTCTAAAAAGCCATTACTTATATGTTATATAAATGACAGGATTTACAGTGTTTTCTTGTTATTGTGCAGTGTAGCGTAATTGTGTGGTGTCAAGTTCCCTCAGAGTCAAAAACCCATTCAAAGCAATACAACTGACTGCAATCTTTCTCCACATGTTGAATATAACTGATGTCTGGGAACACTGTAGAACAACACAGCCCGACCAGATCCTACAGGAGCAGCTGTGATGACTTTGATAAGGGGCCCCCACATCAGCAGCACCTGCCATGATCTCGGGCCAGGCATCTCTCTGAGGGAACATATGTCCCCCACGTAGTGAGGATTTACTGAGCTGCAGCATGGATGACAACGGGAGCTCCTTTATGGCACACTGGAGCAGCATTATCTGCAGTAAAACAAATAAAGGCCATTATGGAGAACAGGGCCCGATGATGGTGCAGCCAGATCCCCTCAGCTGGCACTGTTTGCTGAGCCAGGAGCCAGCAGCCCGCCGGAAATGACCACTATTGATTAGTTGGCAGCTGTCACATCACTTCTTTCATTAACGGGATGACAGAAACGCAAACATATGGACGATAAAAGCCTGGACCTTCGTTGTATGTCCATATAGGAAAATGACTAATATTCAATGCCCGATATCTTTACTGTACGCAACCATAGTGTGGCGAACAACAACAGATGGTAAAAGCCAAACAGTGGTAGGCTACCATTCCTGTTGGCCTAAATTAAAATGACACATGTAACTTTACTCTGTGGAGTTGCCCCATTAGCACTCGGTCGTGAAGAAGTGTGAGGCAGGAAAAAAACGGCTGGAAACTCACCTTCTTGGTGAAGAAAACAAACGTCCAACTCGGTTTCCCTTTCGACTCTCGCTCAGTGCTACGCGGCTGTCTTCCGTCCGGCGGTGAGATGCCGGGGTAAAGTAGCCCACGAGAAGTGGAGCTGACACCTGAAATATGCGTTTCTGCTCCAGCAACAGCACCAGGAGCCGACCTGCTGTCCTTTCCCTCGACAGGCTACTTCTCTCCGTTCCTTCGCTCCCGGAGCTCGAGTTGAGTGTTTAATAAGGCTTACACTGTAGCCGGAGCTCCCTCTGTGAAAGAGTTAAAGTGAACACCGGAGCTGCCGCTGAAAAGCTGCGAGGCTGCGTCTTCACGGCTCGAGCTGAGGGCTGTCTACGGCGCGTGCGCGCGCGGGCACGCACACACCCTTGAGAAACAACACGAATAGTAGTTTTTAGTTGTAGTTTTATGTTATCTCTACGTGGACTACAAGTGTGCCCAGGCTATAAATATTCACATGTATTGTACACTGCTCATATATTGTCCCTGTAGTGTTTTGTTAGGAAGTTGTAGTTGTTATAGTTTTTTCCCCCTGTCCTATGTATCTACAACATGCAGTAGGGACTTGACTTTGGAGGGCTCAATAGTGAGATTGCAACATATTATATATATATATATATATATATATATATATATATATATATATATATATATATATTATATATATTATGTTTATATGACATACACAATTATATAATAGTTTGACATTTTGGGAGCTCATTAAGATGAGAAAGATGATACAGAGTAGTATCAATCTTCTCATCTCAATTTAGCTCTGTGAAATTGAATATGCATATTTTTCGCAATAGTCGAAGTAGCCTAGTCTCACACAGACACACGCACGGCAATCAATTAAATAACCAGAAATTGCCACACAGTGAACTTGGGTAACTGCAGCCTTCGGGACGCCAGACCCTCGGGGGGGTTTCCTATCAGTTGCATTTATTTAGTCAAATTAGGCTGCTAAGTCAGTTTTTATTGCCACAAAAACCCATGGCCAGGGACGTGCACAGGGGGGTTGCTCTGGTTGCCCGGGCAACTGCCCGTTTGCCTTTCCTGACTCAAGTTGCCCTTCCGACTCGCCCTTCCGAGAAAAAAAAATAAAATAAAAAAATAATCGCGATCGCAAAGCCTCATTCACTTCCATTCGGGCACCGAAAGTGAAAGTCAGTAGGGGAAGGGCAAACTCTGTTTAAGTGGCTGCACTGCTGCAGCGCTGCCTACACGTCAGTCGATTCTGTTCCCTACCGGAATTCCTGTTTCCTTCCTTTATGCAATCATACTACAACAAATCATGCGTAGTTTTGCCCAGTTACCATATGTGATACGTACCAACAGAAGTGAATACGAGCTAGAAGCGCAACTGAATGTACGGGAAGCCAAAAGGTTAAAAAAGGATTGTATTTTTTTCCGAAATCTAAGCGTTTTTTTATTTAATATTTTATTAGAAGCGAGTTTTCCCCATCTGTCAATTCAATCTAGATTATTTATTTTCAAATAAAAAAAAAGGAAAAAAAATAAAAATAATAATGATTAAAAAAAACAATAAACAATAATATAAGGAACTCTTTTTTCATGACTCGAGTCATGTTTTTCTGTTTTGTTATTAATAGTAGTTTAGGTTATTGAGTGCTGTATTTAAGTGTTTTTACTTTTTGTATATTTTTTAATAAAAAAATGTTTTTTTCTCAGTCCTTCATATAGCCCATGTTTTTTTGTTTGTTTTTTTTTTTGGGGGGGGGGGGGGGGGGGGGCTTTTTTTCAGGTCAGAGCAACTGCCCTTCAAAATTCCTGTGCACGTCCCTGCCCATGGCCTCATTTTGTTACCCTGCATAGTAGGTGGGCATCTGTGGTTAATGTTTGTAGCAAACTGAGGAGTCCAGTGCTTTGATGAATTGTACATCCTATTAGGATCTCAGTGTTTTTATGCTGCGTGGATGCATATCCATTACTGAGATCAGATAATTGCGAATGAGGTCTACATTTCTACATTAGAGATGATTCAATAAAGCTGTTTGAGACTCCCAGACTCATAATTTATTTAAGACACCATCTTACTGCAGGGCTGCTCTGCAGAATTACTGAAGTTCCAAATAATGGTCCCTGAACTTGCAGCAGTCTATATTCAGAATATGAGATTGCTGCGTGATTCTCTTTCTTACACACACACACACACACACACACACACACACACACACACATTCATTTCCTTGTGTGGGTCAGGAATGAACGAGGATGGTGGAACTTGTCTGGTGCAAGTCCCCAACACTTCCTCATGTTTTACTTTGCACACCCAGGATTGAGGAATTTTTAAACAGTGTATATTTTCTTCATGGTCTTCATATCCGTACATGGCTGATCCATATGATCCGCACATTCTAAATGCAGCTGTTTTTTTACAGAGTTGTTTTTACAAAAGTCCTGCCACTTCTTGAGGTGGAGGAAATTAAGATCTCACCTGAAATCTCACACAAGTCATACCATTAAGGAGGAAGAGAAAGAGGATAAAGTTGTTCTTTGGTTAAAGAGAGTTTATTCCCTGATGCCACTGCACCAAGCAGTGCATTCCCTGAGAGTTTCAGAGTAGGTAGTTGATGTCCTTCCTCGAGACACTTCGACTAACTCCTTGTACAGTTTTTCCACACTGCACATTAACACAATGGAAGCAAGATAAAACTAACTGTGGCCCAAGTTAATTGTCTGCTTATTCCAACTACACAGCATAAAATGATGATGATGATGAAATCATTACTGAATTTATGATCACAGACAGGGACACAGCTTAAAAAGGGCAACATGAATTGCATTTGAGATAACCTCATCCATTTATTTTCAGTCCCTACTTTTTATATTTAAATGGCTCCATTATAATCCATTAGTGCTGATATTGTAGCTGGAACAAGGACAGTGCTTCTTCCTGTACCTGGCCAGCAAAGCAGTGTTCTCAACATTCAAGGCTAGTCCTCACAAAACCTAATGTGCGTCACTGGTAATAAAATCAAAACAGTCCTATTAAAAATCCAGGCACAGGCCTTTCAATCTCCCAATCACAATGTTAATTAGACATTGTTGACAAATTCAGCAAACATATCAATTTTAATAACTGGAAACACAACATTTTACAAATGAAATGCAGTATGCTTTGCTCATTCAGCAATGGATCTACAAACTTTCCCTGAATACACCTGCGTCCAAACATCGCCCTCTGTTGGGGATGCAAGTATATTGCCCACACAGCACGTGAGGTTTGGTAAAGAAAATAAAAGATATTTAGAACTTAACAGGGGTTAAGATCATAAACAATATAATGAAACATTAAAAACAAATAAACAAAGCAAAAAATACTTTTGTGAGACAGCATTAATTAGCCTGCTAAAAGTGAACAGCAATCGTGAGTTTACTGGACTCATAAGGACAGGGCAGGTAACATTTTGTGTAATTACATTTACATGATGTCACTTTTATTTGTGGCCATGTTTAACTGAAATCCGTATATACACCAACCTTGTTGACTCACGCCTCATCATATGAAATGCTGTGATGACAGCAGAAATAGACGGTGAGATGCTTTTCATGAATTGAAACCTAGTCTTCTCTAAATGCTGGATAAATTCAGAGCTGTGTAGATCAAATTAGTTGTGGTGCAGATGAACCCTGTCAGGTTGCATAGGCTGGACAACCCGTGGTAGCGGCCAAACGTGCTCTTGTAGACTCTGTACTTGGGGTCTTGCTCTTTGAGCTTAGCGTAAGCCTCTTTCTGGCTGCCCAGGCCAATCTGGTTCCCCAGGCCATGCTCCTTCTCCACCTCCCTCATCTGGAACATCGCCTCAGTGACCGCCGGGCCAAACCACTGTGCGTTCAGACCTGCCATGATCAGCGCCACAAAGTACAGACCCATCTGAAAGACAAGAAGAGATACCTTACAGGAAGACAACATGGTGATGGTTGACTTGGAAATATTGTGATTAAAATAAGCATTTAAAATTGTATGTTCAGGTGTGATGTTTGACCTGCACACTTTCATGCCAGTCCAGCAGCTCTCTTGGGTGGTACACAGCATACACAGCCAGGCTGACAAAGTTGCTACCCAGCAGACAGTAGAAGTATACGGGGAAGAGTTTACTCTGCACCAGGCCAAAGGTGTGCCGAGTTACCTGCCACACCAATGCAAAACCTACCAGCACAGACATTAAGGGGTCAGAACACAAAATGTATGTTGCAGCCATGACTATTCTGTTTGTGAGCTTCATACCTGCTATGAAGGTGACCCAGACCTGCATGCCCCAGGAGAAAGAGAGCACCAGAAGGTGTAGCACTTTGATCAAGTCTGTGGGCTCCCCCTCTGTTACCATGGTGTCAGTCTGCAAAATACATACATTATAGCCTACATCCTTGTGTTTTGTTGAAATTGGCTTTACTTTCTCATTGTGAGAAAATAATTACTAAATCAATCTTTCCTTCTGACCTTGATCCCCCCCCCCCCAAAAAAAAAACTGTGCATGCACATCTGATGAATGTGACAAAATATGGAAATGTTCATACTGGCTCTCAGCTCTCATAAAGCCGACGTTTGCAATAGACACTGAATTACCAATTAAAATATATACTGTATTTTGTCTTTTAGATGTTAATATTGGCAAGAAAAAAAGCAAAATTTATTTTCTTTGCCGTTAAGTATTTGACAGATTACAATTACACGTTACTCTGAGGTGATGTTCCTGTTATGAACATAAACACACAAAAATCCAAAAACACAAATCCTAATGGATTTATTTGGGTTTTGGGAGGTGTTGTGTCCTGTTTGCACCAATCCCAGATCATAGAGCATATATAGAGAACCAAAAAACAATTTCTTTAACCATGTTTTAAAACTCCTTTTTTAAAAACATGTCTTCAGTTTCAAAATCATGTTTATAAGTAAAAATAAAGTCATTATTAAGGTGATAAAAACGATATTAAGTATGTTTTCGGAGCTGTTAAAGGTAGCATGCCGTCTCCGGGACCACAAACAGAACAGCAGGACTGAGGCCACCGAGATAAAGGTCCTGTGTAACGTGCAACAAAACTGATAAGCCCCCAGAGAGAGATAAGAGTGCAGAGCAGAGAAAATACGTTTCGGATTTCACTGTCAATTAAAATGTATATAAGCCCCCCCCCCCCAAGGGAACAATTTATCTACACGGAGCGATAAAGGTAAATGCGTGAAAGAGAAGCCAGAGAAGCAGAGTGATCCTGTACTGTGTCTACAGCAGGTTCACTGGTTCCAGTTAGAGAAGTGACAAGCTAACCAGCTTTAGCCTCGGAGCTAACAGGAGAGTTACACAAGCTGTATGTCTGCAGCGTTTCTTGCTTCATTTTGCATTTCACATGTACAATTACTCACTACGCGTTACACAAACCTGCACCTACCTTGGTGTCCTTTTCCTGAGAGTAATTAGGAATGTCAAATTCAACTTATTAACGTTGGTGTGATTCAAGATCCAGCCGAGCTACTTCCTCTGTCATAATATTATGGCAACAAGCCCCGCCCCTCCGGGAGAGACGGACCATGGGATTCTTTGCAAGTGAATATTTCATCTTTTCATCCATTTCTATCTCTCCTCTCATGGTCCTGCCCTTGTGTTTTACTTTATAGCCCAACATGTTATCCCCTGCTTCACTGCCTGCGTATTCTCCAGATGAACAGCAGCTTGCCATTTGAAAGAGAGTTTCTATTTTTTTGTAGGCCTACTGTCTTTGTTAGGTACAGTATTCAGTACTTTTGGCTGGTAACTTTCTCATTTCACAGAGTACACCCCCCTACTTCTGAAGCTGGATCTCTTGCACTACAGTAGGAAATGTGTCTTATAATAAGATACCACCTATCTGTCCATGTAGCCTTATAGGTCATAGGTCTACATATAAATGCATGTACTTAATTTAAATGGCTGAAATATTAGGATGAGCTTCCATTAAAGGAGGCCATGGACTAGACAGTCAGTCTATAATGAAAATAGGCTTGTGTCTTCTTTAAAAGTTGAATTCATAAAACGAAACTCAGTCTTGTTCAAATCAATAAACTATACTTGTTCTAGTATGATTAGCTTGTGATGGCTAATGTTATCAAGCTTTATATTTTTTTAGTCAGTTGTGCGACTCTTTTAGCATTTACCATTATCAAATAATTACATCTTGTGGCCACAGAGGCACAGAGTTTGAATTTGAATAGTTTAAATATTGTGGGAAAGTACCCGAGTTCATAAGATTGTTAAGTGGTAAAAAAACAAAAAAAACAATAGATCAAGCGTTTAATTACTTAAGCAAGAAAAAAAATAGCAAAGAAATAGTGTAGGTCATGTATAACATATAATAGGCCACTTACTGTTGTATGTCCAGATCTCTCCACAAAGCCATTTGAAAGTCTAACACTAACATTTTATCAGCTCAATGTATCTTACTCTGCAAAGTAGCCGGTGACCACAAAAGTCAGATAGACGTAGTAGTAAAATTCCCTTTGATGGTTTACTATAAGAATACTGCACTGTACTAAAATATTAAAATGTATGAGATTAATCAGAAATACTCCAGTACAGTGCCCTCAAATCGGATTTTCCACTTATCAAAATTCTCATTACATATTGTCATCTGTATCTGCATTGTCCAACCACTCACTTAAGTTATATAATACTACATTGTGTGAAATTAAAGCCACCATGCTAATTATGCTCCATTAAATCAAGTGAGAGTGGGTATTTAATTTTGTCTAGACCTGTAAGTGTTATTTTATTACCTGATTGCCTTCTAAAGTTAATTGCTCTTAATTGTTCTTTTTTTGTTTGTTATTAATGCACTGGTATAAACTCATAAGTCATTCAGTCAATTCAGAACACCACGTTCACATTTCAGTTGCAACTTGATGCTTTCTTCTTCAAATGTTTGTTTGTTTCACTTTATATTCCACAATAAATCATTTAAAATAAATTTAGATTTCAGATCATTTTTATAGGCCTCCATTTTGTTATACTATTGCCTTCATTGGATGAAGACCACAAGGTCCCTGTTTGTGTGATTATATCTCAGTTTACAAAAGATGTATCCCACAAAAAGTATCAAATAAAACCACCTTGTGAAGCACTGAGACTCCTCTTGCACCTCATCAGTTCTCAGCAGTAGATTCTTTGACTGCCACAGCTGGAGTATTTCTGCTTGGGGAGGTTTCATTTATTTCTGTGGCTCTGTGGCACAGCAGGAGATTTTGCTGGAAGACCTGTGGTTGTAAAATTACAACATCAATTTTAGCTCTCCCAAAAACACATGTGAAAATTTGTTTTGTTTTCAAAGATCACATTTACATAGCCAGTGAGTCCTATTGTTTAGCCTTGCAATGCAATTGGATAGTAAATATATAGGTCTGGCCATAAGGCCATGAACTCATGCAACTTGCAAACTTTCCTGGAAGCACATCTCCTTGTTTAATCATGAGTAAAATACTTTTTTGTGATTGTTAGAATATCTGGTTCATGTAAATATTAAGTTATTGTGGAATGCATGCATCAAATTAAGATTTTCAGCTTGTTATGTCTTTGCTGTAATTGTACAACGCTGGGTGAGGTGCTTGTTACAGTGCGCATGATGCCATTGTTGCTGTCCAAAATGAAGAGAGCGATGTTAAGATGGAATCGGACACCAGTGATTCGAGTGATGAGGAGGTGGTTGAAAATGTCAATGAGGTGGACAAAGAGAATGTCCAGGTGATGATGATGATGATGATGAGGTCATCAAGCCAACCAACTTAACCAACGATGCCCCGTGACAGGTATCGCTGGCTGAAACAGGATTTCATCAGTCCTAATACTGATTTCTCTGGTCTGGATGTCAGCAGTGATGCTGGTGCTGATGCTGAACAGGAGACAGGCACAACTAGCATCCTCTCTCATCCTAGTAAGAAACCTTGTCTGCTGTTTACTATATTTAATATTTCACAGATTATTCCGTTTTTAATGTATGTTTGACATCGCAAATGAGTCCTTTCTTGTCTAATTCTGACAAACACAGCTGTCAACACACCAAGGAGAGGGCAGCCATCTTCAGGCAGTGGGCTGCCACAGCCTGAAGAGACCATCCTCAGGTAAGGGGGGGATTCACCAAATGAGGTCCCAGCCAAGAGATCGTGGGAAGCACCAACAGATGTGCGCAGGGACATGGCCGCACATTTCCCAGTGAAGACAAGGAGAGGGAGGATGCTGCAGAAACTGGAACAAAAGGTTATTCTAATGTTCTCTGGTGAAGAAAGTGAAATCTCCGTCTCTGCTTTTCAGAGGAAAGGAACTGCTTTGGGGGACTACTATTGCAAGTGAACTCTGGACACTGGTTCTTAAGTTTTCCTTCTGTTTTGGTCATGCAGTTTTAAATATTTTTTTTTATAAATACTGATGATGATTCATAAAAATATGACTAGTGGGTGATCATTACTCATGATATTTACTGTTATAGTGCTGTGTAAGCAATCTACATTGCAAATATACCCTTAGTTGCTCAGTGTGTGTGCAAATGCTGAAATTCTGCTGCCAACTAGGCCCAATGTTGCAATATTACAACGTTTCTAACATAAAACCCGTCATTATCTGGAAAAAAAATCAAATTTTTTATTTTATTTGGTTCATACAGGGTTAATGTTAAGGCGCTAGTATATCCAATGTGGATTTATTTTCTTCTATTTTCTTCCTAATTCTACTTTCTGAGGCAAAGTGCTCGCTGGAAGCCTGCTTGCCAATGCAGAGTGCCACAATATAACAGACGTGGTAATTCAGGCCTATTGATCTGCTGGCAAGTGCTTCATCCAGCACCCTGCTTGGAGTTATCCTACCTGGGCCAGAAAATGACTATCTAAAAGGTTGGGCTTGGCTGCATCCCTGTTGTCAAAGAACAGAATCACATCAAATGTGGGGATCAGTAATGTGTGATGTTCCTGTTCATCAGTCTATATCAGAGCCTGAATCACAGTTGCCTCTCAGCAGCATCTCAACCCATTACCTGGAGATGAAGGTGAAGGATTTTGCCAATTTCTATATTGTTCATTGGTTTACTAATTCCTTTTTTGGACACAAAAATGATGTTGATCATTACCGGTGTGCCAATAATATCTATGCTTCACCTAGTGATCCCTCTTGAGAATCTTGTAAATTGCATTTCAGAAATTTGCACATTCTCTCGACACTACATCTGCAACTAGGAAGTAATTTTTTTTTTTTACATGTTTTAATTCTTGGATCAATCTTTTTATTGTCTTGCATTTTTTTTTGTATGAAGTGTGCTCATGTCTACAGCAGAGGAGGGAGTTGACTTAGAAGACGAGATCCGCTATTGGATACATTTGGCTGTCAGTCTCTGCCTTTGAGCCAATCACACACCGGTCAAATTGCCAACTAACCAATCAGAAGCGGCGCCAGAGAGACGCTGTATCCGGATCAAGTTGAAGACACAGCATCCTCTACTGCAGGAAGACAGGCATCCTTTTGGTAAGCCAGACTACATTCAACACTATTACACAAGTGCTAAATAATGGAATGAATGAACAGATGAAACACGCACCTCCGTTTTTTCCCTTCACTTTGAAAGTCGTTTATTAAAAGCAAATTCTCTCTCCTACAGTCTTTACCCACAGACTAGCAGCTGATTGACAGCTGTTAGCTTGCTAGCGTGTAGCGGTAGCTTTTTGGGGCTTCAGTGCAAGAGTTTTGTTTTTTTTCCCCTAACCTGTTTGGGGGTAGTTGAGCTGACAGTTTAGCTGCATGATTCAGATTTTGCTGTATCATTGGAGGAAACGTGAAGTACTATCCTCGTGAGGTTATCATCACAGAAGCATGTCAGTTTTGCTCTGTATCTGCCTGTGAGCCAGGTGAGCAGTGATTAATGATGAACTATAATGTGTGAGTTCTTGTCTTCTACCTAGAGTTTACTTAGTTCACATAAGGCTTTAATTTTGTAGGCTTAAACCAGTTCTGTCGTTTAGTAGGTAAAGTAAATGCAAATCAATCAAAAGTGACTACCACAGTGAATACGTGGGAAAATATTTTTTTTAAATTCACGTTAATTCAGCAGCAGATATACAACATTACAAATGGGGCGCAGAAAGTCAAAGAGAAAGCCACCTCCCAAGAAAAAAATGACGGGTAACCTGGATGTTCAGTTCACCTGCCCATTCTGTAACCATGAGAAATCCTGCGATGTCAAAATGTAAGTACCTCAGTGTAACTCCACATGCTTTAGAAAAAGAGAGAAATGCATCATGACCAACGTGACTAAAATACTAACTGTTTTCCAGGGAACGAACCCGCAACACAGGAATTATATCATGCAGTGTTTGCTTGGAGGAGTTCCAGACTCCTATAACTTGTATCCTTTTAAGCAGCAAAAGATTACAACATCGTGATTGCCCAGTTGTTATTACTTGCACCTGCCAACGAGGTTTGTTTTTGTTCCTGTTTGCTTGTATTTTAGGTTACAGTATATCTGATCAAGTCTTGTGAAATGAAAGGATGTAGAAGGTCAGTGATTAGTTTTTGGTTTGAATCCACACATTTTTTGAATACATTCTTTATATTGCAAGATGGATCATTTTAATTATTTCTCCTATTTTGTTCTGAACTATTGCACTGAGCTGAATAAAAAAACAATCATGCATATACATTCCATGATTGTTTTGTTTTTTTAAATACGTGTGCTTTGATGCAGCTCTGGATGCACATGTAGATAAAACATTCCTAAACACTTTCAACAATTAAAATAAGAAATTAAGAGGGTTGTTTAGCCTCGGTGCAGGTTATGTGTCTGTCTGTCATTTGAAATGTCCCTTAACCTTTTCACAACAGATCTGTCCGAGCCAGTGGATGTTTACAGTGATTGGATCGATGCCTGTGAAGCAGCTAATCAATAGTCATGTTTTCCTGTGACTCGCCCACACTCTGACCTCACTCACTTACATTCCCCCCTTTGATTTGTCCGCTTAATTGTGTCCTGTTCAGCTAGCACAATGTAGCAAAACCTCAAATAATAGAAGCATCATGCTTTACATGATGCGCTTAGTTTAATTTTGCTACAGTGTGGCATGCTGAGCATGACACGTTCCTCTGGCTGGGCCAGATGGCCATTTTGTTTTGTCCACATCATGTTTCTCATTGTATAAGTTTTCTTATTTGAGTGATTATCTTATAAGTACTGTTTTTTTGTTTTAGATTAGATCATGTTTTCTCGTTTTTGGGACAACGTTGTCATATAATTATCTGTAGTCTTTGTGATTTATGGTTTAAGAACATATGATAATTCTCTTTAGGTTGTATTTAGTAGATGACATACTTTTGTGGAAGTAATTTTTTAGTTTTCAACCTGTCTCTATTGCACTGAAACGTTTTGTTAGTTGACAATTTTGTTAAACTGCCAAATCTTTTCAAATCTTGTTTTTTGGACCAGTATATTTGTACTGCTAGATTTTATTATTTTCATTTTTTAAAAATCACAATACTGTAATTTCTATTACACTACTTCTGTGTATTTTCAGGTAAAGACAGTTATGAGAATTAAATCGGCACCATATTTTTCAAGTGTTTTTATTGCACAAATGTCATGTTTAGTGAAATGCATATAAAGAGAAAACAAGAAGTTAGCAAAGATGTAAAGTTTGAACAATGTCGAAACAAAGCCAACACATTAAAGGTGAAATGTTACTATACATTTACTCAACATTGTTAACATTCTGGACATCACAGGGAAGAAATGAAAATTAATGCACTGTTAAAAAAAACCCCAACACACTACATTCCTACCATTTGATTGAATAAAAAAAGAATGTTTAGACGTTTGATGGGTTAAAAAACACGGTACATGTGCTTTTCTTCCCACTAGATGGCTCACTGCTACATGTCCTAGCTCATAGCTATGACGCCTTTGATCCTGAAGGACAATGAACCGTTTAAGAGCTCCAATCTATTGGAGCCCAGCACATGAATACAAACGTGAAGCTTCTTTAACAGCTGATTCAAAGCCAGTAAGTCTGAATATTTTACAAAGCAATGCAGAGGTTCTAATGTGTTACATCAGACCGCACGTGCCTGAGGCTCCTCTGTATATAACTTTGTAAATGAACATTTCTGCCTTCTAATGTGTGAAGTCCCATGACTGCTAATGAGCGTTAAATTACATTCAGGACGTTCAGTGGGTTAACAGTAGAACATGCAGAAATTTCTAAATGAGAAGCTCATCTCTATTTGGCATGATTCACTGAGCAATTATCAGCAAGCACCACTCCACCTTTGATATTGCCATTTACTGACTGTGGTGGATGAAGTTCTCCGGTACTGTACTTGAGCAAAAGCATTAAAACAAAGTCTCTATACAAGTAAAAGTCTTGCATTCAAAATGTTAGTTTATTAGCAAATTTAATTTATAGAAGTATGAAAAGTAGAAATACCTTCTGTGGATGTTATCATTACCTATACTTACAATGTATTTACTAATTTGCTTTTATGTGAAATTTTGTTAAGTAACTATAACAAGTGACGTAAAATGTACGATATTACCATCTGAACTGCTGTAGAAGTATTAAGTGGCATCAAATGGAAATACTCAAGGAAAGTACCTCAAATGTGTATTTAGGGTCCAGTATGAGTAAATGTACTTAGTTGCATTCCACCACTGTTTACTTCACACAATGTGGAGCCAGGTAAAGTGCAAATGGAGTAACAGCACTAAAGCCAAAGTTGAATGAGGCATACGGCAAAATGTTTCCGAAAGGAAAGAAAAAAAAAACAGGATAAAAACTACTGGTGATTAAGTGTACCCCAACTTCACACTAAATATCACAACTACCTACATTTGCTCTTCTACTTTATAAAATCATTGTCTGGTAGACCCCTCTACGTTTTCTAAATACTTCGTCAAAAACCAAAAGAGTCGTGCTGCACACAAGCCATGTAAATTAGTCCCATAAAATGGCGTGATGGGTAATTTGGCTGTCTTGTTCACAAGACTATCTGTCAGCCAGGTGCTCACAAAACAAAGCAATGTCCGCACAAAGCTACAAGTCCTCCTGCATATTCTGCCCCGGTCAGTCTGTGGACCTGGAACTTCTGTGTCATCCCGAGGAGTGGAATCCTGGAGCCCACTGACTTGCGGTGCTCCAATGTGGACATGGCCCCTGTTCCAACTGGGTCAAAGTTAAATAGCACCAACACGGTCACTTGTTTCCTTTCAAGGAACTGTTAAATTCTGCTTCGTCAGTGTTCAAACTGGATTGGAAGGGTAGGGAGGTGAGGACAGGGGTAGAAACAGTAAAAAAAGCCATAAAAAACAATCTATAAATAGCAAAAGTCATTAAATCTCAACTTCTGAGTGTTGTTTGGGTATTTTTAGCCATAATAAAATTCATCAGAGCGATGAGATGCAGAAGTTGGCCGCTTATTGACATAAGGTCAGAGTAAACATTATTTTTTTCTTTGACTCATGGAAAGACAAACAAAAAATTCCTAAGAGTAAAAGTATGTCGTAGAAATATGACGTCAATCAGTGTTAAATAACAGTCTGGAAAGTTTGCTCGTCACAAAGACAGCTGTGGTTGGTTGTCTGGATTAAGCAAAGAGGAGGAAGGGGGTGATTGTGGTTTCGTTAGTCAGAGTACTGGTTGTAGCCGTCAAACTCCACCTCACTCCCATTGTTATAGTAGGCCTCGGTGGGGTTGGTGCAGTACTTATTGTCGTAGACCTGGCGGGGCAGGCCGTAGGTGGTCATACCCTGTTGGGAGGCCACTTTGTTGGTGCCCATCTGCAGAGAGATGGTGGTGGTATCACAGTTCTCCAGCTCCAGCTTCTTGTCAAAGATGTGCCTCCTAGTTCCTGGGGCTGTCATGCCAGCCTGGGGGACAGAAAGCAACATGGGCTTTTATAGAAGCAACTACAACTAACAATATATATGATGCGTTATTTTGAGGGGACAGCAAATTTACACTGTTATACAAGCTGTACACTCACTACTTTACATTGTAGCAAAGTGTCATTTCTTTAGTGTTGTCACATGAAAAGATATAATCAAATATTTACAAAAATGTGAGGGGTGTACTCACTTTTGTGAGATAGTGTATTTTTAAAGCCTCTTTAACAGAAGATTATTTGACAAGTCAAAAAATAAGACTAGTGATTTTGTTTTTCCACAAATCCCACAAAAAGATAAGAACCTACAATGAACTGTTAAGAAGTACCATCTGTGTATCTACAGATTGATATGCCTTATTCCTCTGTGCTGCAGAATTCTGCTGTTGTCAAAAAAACTTCCACATCCTTACAGTGGGTTTTATTATAATCGACACGGGCACTGTAGTTTATTTTTCAGTTCCACATAAACTGTCCTGCTCCTGGAAATACTCACTGGAGCAGTGGTTTCCAGTGTTTTTTGACTGATGTAACCCTAAAGCCCTGTCAAATGATGTCCATGTATTGCCTTTAACTAACTATTACAACAATTTATTTATTAATTTTAGCTATGTCAATTGTTAAGCGAACTTTTTCAACCAGTGGTTTAGAAGAGATCTCGGCTTGCCTGCAATTTTTACTTTTCATGCACTCTCGATTGCAACACATTCTGTTCACGCCTTACCCTTGAACTCAGTTTATCTTTAGAAAATGTGTGTTGTGTCTTTAAATCTGAAGTTTTATCTGGAACATAGTGTAAAATGGATGAACAAAAACATAATTTTGGTGTCAAGTCTCTCCTCACCTGGCTGGCTCCCTTGTTGGTGCCCATCTGTAGGCTGATAGTAGACTGGTCCAGTGGGTTGTCCATGGCCATCTTGGAATCATACAGATGGCGTCGTGTGCCGTAAGAGGTCATGCCCTTTTGGCTAGCAAGCTTGTTAGTGCCCATCTACACACAAACGAGCAAAATGGAGTGAGTTAAATACATGAAAATGTTTGGGGGACAAAGTTGTCACTTTGGGCAGCATCTGTATAGCTGCAAAAAATTTAAGAGCGCACCTATGATGGTCAAATTGACGCTTATCTGTTATCATTCTATTCTACACCAATAATCTAAAAGCAGGGCAGGTGAGAGAAGACTCAGTAAAGAGGTTTCTGTGAAGATTATTTCAGCAGGAGTCCAGCAGGGGGCAAAATGACAACCCACTGGGAAGTGTCTTGGCCAGCAGAACATCCCAGAACACATGTATCTACAATCCCAAACACACAAGCATGGTCATAAAGTAGTACATTAGAGGTTCAGCATTTCTGCTGCTCTGACCTGCAGGCCTATGATGTTACGTCCCTCCCTGAGCTTCTCTGGAGCGAAGCGGCGCTGCTGTTTCTCAGCGTACTTCACTCCCAAGTCGTACTTGGAGTGGAAACCTTTGGACTTGGCCTGAGATTGAGAAAAGTGGCAGAGACAGAAGGGAAAATGGGGGTAATAGTGTTTCTTTAAAACCCATATTGTTTTTATTATGCAACTGCTGTTGCCATATTGTAGTCCTAGTCCATGCAACACAAAGCACTCACATAGGTAGGCTGGTAGATGCTGTGTAAATAATTAAATTCAATTTTACTTAAATATATAGCGCTAAATCACAACAGTTATTTCATAGCGCTTTTCATAAAAAAGCAGGTCTAGACCGTGCTCTGTGATATTGTTTACAGAAACCCAACAATTCCCACTATATGTACAATATCAGCAGTGCTCATGGTTTCTGTAAGATAAAAGTAATGTTTTTGGTGACTCTCTCAATGTAAAAGTAAAAGAAAAGCAATAATATCAGCCTTTCCAACAACAGATGTCACTGGAGTAACTGTGTGTGTGTGTTGCTGTCCTCACCATTCCAGCCAGAGCGATGAGTGTGCACTGGACCTGAGTGTGGTTGACATTCTCAAACAGATCGTTGGCCTCAAAGATGTCATCTGGCCTCAGGCCATACTCTGTGATCGCTCGTACAAAATTCCCTATGTTTTCCAGCTGAGGAAAAAAGCAGACGGATGGAAAAAGGATGGAGCATTTATTTGGCATGTTCTATGCATGGCCTGAGTCATTTCCTTGTGTTTTAACTTGAATGCAGCTGTTTCTGTTAATGGAATTGTTAAACATTTGGGAAAATGCGTTTGCAGTTAGATGAGAAGATTATTACCATGCTCATATCTGTATGCTAAATATGCAGAGGTTTTCAAAGTAGGAGGGTAAATGTAAATGCTCCGTACTTGTATAGCGCCTTTCTAGTCTTTTACACTACATCTGCATTCACCATTCACACACATTCATACACTGGCGAAACAGCCACCAGGGGCAATTCGGTGTCCAAACAGTTTCCGGGGTGAAGGTATGTCAAAATGCAAAATTGGGATAGCTTGGCTCAACTGAGTGTCTATAGGATCAGATAACATAATAAAGTATGATCCCGTAGGTATCCAGGAATTGAACGAAACTTGCAAGTAACCTAAGGGCACGTGAGGGGGCGCCTTTATCCAAGCTCTGTCTGTTTGGAGGCCCACGGTGTCAGACTTTAAAAACCCCTGACGAAGCTACCACTAGCCGGTTAGCTTATCTTAGCTGTGTGCTTTTGTTTACAA